TAATTGCACTGTAGTCACTCAACTGTAATAACGTAAGGCTGCTGAGAAGTTTTTGAGCAGTTCCTCGCAAATACATGGTTAACGGTTGTGCTTTTTCTCCGCTAGACCACCCATTCCATGCAGCAACTTGTTCAAAAGGAACAAGAAAATCCGGCCATTCACAACTTTTACCATCAAAATGATCTGGAATCACTTCACGACGGGTAGGTTTTCGCCACGAATTGTTGCACAAATGAGCTATCACAATCACTATGATAAACTCTATCACCTGTCCAGTTAGAATTTATCAAAGAGGTATTCGGCGTTAGACCAGGAACCAACCCTGCTGCTGAAGGTGCCCTCTGATTGTATCTACAGAATTCATTCTGCCTGTCAAAGTGTCTATCTGTAAATGGAACACCAAAATGTACAGAACGTCTATCCTGTCTATCACTTCTACCATAAGCAGACCCTTGCTGAAAATTCAGCATTGCTTCATTAACAGATGATGAAATACCCATTATCTCACTATTACCGGCTTGTGTACTAACACTTGGGAGTGCACGAGATGAACCAATGTTTTCAACTGAACGACAAACATTAGGTGTAGAGGTTGCAAATCCCACTTGACCTAAATCTGACAAGTCGATAAGAGCATGGTCAAGATTATCTGAAGGGGACTCAACCTGATCATGTGCCATTGAATATAAATCACGTGTCTCCCGTGATACCATTTTGTTTGACTATAGATGCTGCAAAACCAAGAACATTTCAATTCTACCTTCTAAATATACTCCATAAATATACTCTATAACCAATCAGTTTCAACAGGATACACCTGTATGATGAAACTTACCTTAATTCACATAGTAAAGCTACAAAATATAATACTTTATTTATTTTGGGAATTTCTGTTTGTTTTGTTGTTTTTGTTTGTTGTTGTTTTTTTTGTGTGTGTGTTTTGTTTTTTTTAACAAAATGAGATTACATATTCTGCCAAGAATCAATTAGGTTTCACTTAGAAAATGACAAAACAATCCTGATCACGGCACCAAATCTGTAATAGGCGCCCTCTAGTAGGCAACCCAGTGACAGGAGTTCAATGTAGAATGTACCTCGGTGTTTCCCTGTTCATAGTTTTATTATAGACTTTGCGTTGTGTACTTTTATTAAATGATGGAAAGCTTTAAAAAAACAGCGGAACAGTGTACAGTCTCCTTCGGTTCAGTGGCAGTAGTCAACTCTTGCAGCAAAATATGACACAAGGCAGAGATGTAGATAATACTAATTTATTCTGTTAAATAAAAATAAGGAAAACAAGCAAAACAAATGATAACAAAAACTGGACAAAATATTTCTCTTTCACTCGCTAAAAGACACCTATTCCCTACACTAATTCCTAAATTCTACATGACCTACTTAATTCCTAACACTAGTTTCTCCCCCAACCCACACTACCTACATATTAAACCCGAGAAAATAAACTATGTCATAATCTATGTTTCTTACCTCACCCGACTACAGTATGAAACTACTTCAACAGTAAGAGTCTTAAAAAAAACCATAAACCAAACCTAACGAGCCGTAGGGAACATCCCCCGTACAGGCAGTGTACTTACTTGCTCGGAACACCGATACGCAAGACAACCATATCAGTCGAATCAGGCTCTTATATACCCCGTGAGCTAACCTCCGAAAGGTCAAGACGAAGTGTTATGATTGGATACGCAACAGTAAACAACTTCACCGCGGCACTGTGCACCTTCCGCTTCCACTCCCAACATGGCGGACAGCAAAGGGATAGGACAGATACCCAACTACCTTACATGACCGACGAAGGAAATTCCAACGGAATTTTACTGCCAAACGTGAGTAATAAGTAGAATAAATGACTACAAGATAACGACATCAATACAGTACTTGCAAAATAGGCAGAAACGTAATTTTAAGCCACCCAACCTATTTGTTTACATTAGCAAACCACATATATAAAAACCACCCAATCTGCCGAAAAATAAATATAAACAACTCATAACACTATAACACTATTCTATTCCACCCAACAACCCATTTCTAAAGTATAAATTATCCAAACTCCTACAAATGTAAATAGCTAATTGATATTTAATGATATAATGTAGATAAATTACACATCCAACCAACTGTACTGATGGTTGGAAAACAATAGATACATTTAACTACACACCGATGCATTAATGTAACACTTCTTTAAGAAATACACTATATACAATACCACATATACACATGCAATATATGCACTGACCTGAATAATAAGATCCTCATTACAATCCAGAAATGCTCCACGAAAACACAAATCATAGTGATCTGATCCTCCAGAAAGATCTATGAGACTGCCAACAGGTTATGTGTGACAGCCACCTTTAAAACTAAACAGACAATAGGTGGCAAGCTGACCAGAGAAACTGAGGCAGAGGGACAAAAGAAGCTTGTGCAGAGTGTAAGCGTATGGGTCAGAACCTGGCCTGAACCAGTAAGGTGGCTATTGTTAATTGAGTAATTGCATAAGTGCAGGGATACATTTAACTGAGAGGGTTTGTTATATTTTATCTGTAAACTTAAAATCTGACACCTATACAATATACAATAACTATATACAAGTACTTAAAATTGAAACTTATAAACTATGAAACTAATAATGATTAAAACATGACTTGGCCACATTTGTAGTACAGCACGCAGCTCACAGCGCTCAAAGCGTGTTCTATGAACGGATCTTTCTTGAGATCTTCCCACAGGTAAAGTCGATGTTCCGGGGGAATGGGAAGGAAGGACGATGCTATACCGGTGTAGATCTGCGTCATAGCCGATCCTATAGTTTTTGTCATCTCGAGTACAGCTTATCGATCTCATCGGTGGACATTTTCTGAATTTTATCTGGAGTGAAATTGTCCCCAAAGTATTGTTTGGCTTTGACGCCACCAGTCTATCTCACTTGTTGTCGCTTTTATTATCCGGCACCAACATTTGTTCAAGCAGTTCGTTGCACTCCATTTTAATTCTAATAAAATAATATCCAATACCAACGAAACATAGCGAGATGAAAGTCGACATTTAATATGAAACTATAAACTGTCATTTCATATGTTTCGCTGCGGCCAACACAATTGAGTGACCAGGAAAATACCGGTTTTCAACCAGGAAGTTTTTGAGGCGAACAAAAAGTGGTATGCACACTAGCGGAAAGAGATAAGCACCTGATAAAAAATGCTTTAGTTGATAAATACAGCTTTACAATGGCTTTTTGTCAGAAGTGATCTCGTACCGCTATTCTGCATACTACTAAAGGTGTGACCCTTCAGAGGTACCTTATCAATATCATATTTTAAATTTGTGACAGCACCCTCATATATAATAAATGCACATTTTCAGAGGATGGTAAATGTGACTTATAACTAAGAGAATAATGTTGCTTCATTCATTCAAGCAAGGGTTTTCAAGCAATAAGAGACATTGCCAGCTACGTCAGTCTTTCACCATTGTAACAAATTCAGTTAATTCCATCACCAAATAAGAACGCATCATCAGTTTGCTGGATCAAAGGGTCGTCTCTTCTGATGTCGCTTGCGACAGGGGTACGTCGTCCTCGTCGTCCCTTTGTTGATGAATAATCAAATGACAAATGTCCACATCGTTAGGATTATTTCGATGGTCTTCCAGTGGGAGCATCCCTTCCATGTTCCCTTCGTAGAGAGGTTCAGCATTGTCTTGCTGTTGTCCAGGGTGACTGTCAGACGTGACGCACCCCTCCATATCAATTTCTCTACAAGTAAGCTGAAATGATAAAATGTGCGGTAATTTTTCACAACGTTTGACGTGTATATATATGCAAACAATCATTAGTGAGTGAGTGTATGGTTTACGTCGCTTTTAGCAATATTCCCTATGTGGGGAATCAAACCCGGGCCTTTAGCGTCACAAGCGGATGCTTTAACTATTCGGCTACACCACCGCCCCTCATAAAGTGACAAACAGTGTACAATGAACGTATGGTGTAAAAGCACAGCCAACACTGAAATTTATCACTTCACGATAAGTTATACACGATATGTGTAACCAATAAACAAAAATGTCACGTTTTTCATTGTGTGCAATCAGTTCGTTGTCAGGCACACTTGACGGTTGAAAGCATGAATAAGAGCATTCATCAGAAGTACTACAATGCAACGTATATGAAAACTTTAATTCATTGCACAAATGATTTGCAGCTATTATGGCTACTTGTACTTACCTCTTCTTCTTGAAGCTTTGACGGTTCATTCATTAGTCTTGATTTCTTAGGATTATAAATCCAGAAGAAGACCATACACATCATCATCACCAACAGAAGAAATGGTGCAATCCAAAATACGTAATAATTCATTATTAAGGATATACAAACGTCATCAAAGATGGAACCAGCACTGCCAGATGGGCACGTTGGCACACAACTACCATTGGAGAAATAGAATTTCTTCTCCTGACACTCTTCTTTATCTATGCATGTGGCCTCATAACTGTAGGTTTGTGATGGACAAATGGTGTAGCAGTTCCTGTCTTTTCTGTTCGGTGCTTCTTGAGGGCAGGATGATAAACAAGATCCGTTGTATAACATATTCTGGCATTTGTAATTTTCTAGGCAGTCAGAACCTTTAGCGAAAAATCCTGTCGGACATTTGGCCAGACAATTTCTAGAATGTACGTATGGAGCAACAGAAGGGCATTTAGGTAAACATGATCCATTATATAACATATTTTGGCAGTTGTCATTTTCTAGGCAGTCAGAACCTTTAGCGAAAAATCCTGTCTGACATTTGGACAGACAATTACTCGATTTTACGTATGGAGCAAAAGGAGGGCATGAAGGTAAACATGATCCATTGTATATGACCGCGTCTGTAATCGTTGGGCATTCGGATAAGGAAACGCATTTGTTCCCTGGAAATATGCTTGTGTTGTGAGGACATTCCATTATACACGTGTCATGTAATCTATATGGAAACGCTGATGGACATTCATGTAGACATTTGGATTCATGCACAAAGTTCCCTCGCGTCCTGCGGTCTTGATAACTTACACACTTCATATCAGGCAAACTGGCTGTTTCCCGTGGGCAGGTTTGGTAGCAGTGGCTTGACCTGGTGTATGGAGATTCTTTTGGACATGCTGTTGTACATGTTCTGTTGAACACCATTTTCTTCATCTTTACACATTCAGATTCGCTAATGCACTGGAACTGCCCTGGGGTAGTGACAACAAAGTCTTTAGGACAGGCAGGGTAGCAGTGGCCTGACCTGGTGTATGGAGATTCCTTTGGACATGCTGCTGTACATGTTCTGTTGAACACCATTTTCTTCATCGTTACACAGTCAGATTCGCTAATGCACTGGAACTGCCCTGGGGTACTGACAACAAAGTATTTAGGACAGGCAGGGTAGCAGTAGCCATTGGCTACGTACGGCGATCGTCCTGGGCACTCAGATACACATGTTCCGTTGGATATATACCTACTGCTGTGTAAACACATAGAAGAGTCAACACATTGCATGTCTGCAACTACAGTGTCATCTGGACAACTTTGTACACACATTCCTTGGTGGTTTAAAGGTGCTACCTGCGGACAAGAGTCAACACAGGTATTGTTGAATATCACCTTAAAGAGGTCATCAGTAGATATGCAATGTTGTAAACCTATGCATGTTTCATCATTAAACACGTAGTCCGTTGGGCATGTCGAGTAGCAGGCATTATCTATGGCATAAGGGGCTTCAGCAGGACAAGCGGCGATGCATTCATTTCGGAAAATAACGCTATTCCGGCTGACACATTCAGTGACCAAAATGCAGTGAGTCCCAAGAACATATTTCTCTTTCGGGCACAGTGTTGTGCATGACCCCTGGTCACTGAACATAGCTGTAGGTGGACAATCGGGAACACAGGTATAGTTGTATATGAAATGACTCAGCTTGTCAGTACATTCCTGTTTTGACAGACATGTTGTTCCATTTACCGTGACAGATTTGTCAGGTGGACATGAAGAATGACAGACACCTTGTAGAATCGACTGTTTCTCAGGAGGACAAGCTTTAACACATGTTGTGTTGTCTATGAAATATCCCCTTTCCACACAGTCTGATGGAGACACACAGTCGGACGTATTTGTTACAGTATCAGCTGGGCATTCCTTACGACAAACCCCATCTTTCGTGAAAGGCGCGGACGAAGGGCAGGCTGGCACACATGTACCATTAAACAGAACCTGGTTGTTGTTGGACACGCAGTATGTCCCATTCAAACAACGTGATCCTATCCTGATAGTATGTACAGGACACGTGTTGTAGCAGGTGGAAGTTTCCTGTTGGTAAAACGTCCCGGGTGGACAGGAATTCACGCATGTTCTCCCGTAGATCACAAATGACTTTCTTCGACATTCCTGTGCACTAATACAGTTGTTCCAAGGGTTGGGGAAGTAAAGTGGCGCTGTTGAGGGACACCTGGATGTACCTACTTCAACCCCAACGGACAACAAGAAACACGCTATCAGAATGAACATGATTGTTACATGTGCTTCCACGGTGAGGCCAGTCAGGAACACCAGGCTATGTGTGATTCCAGCATCCAGGTGTTGCTATCTGAAATAGGATAATTTTGTCCACTTTGACAATGCAATTATAAATGACGAATCGTTTCGTATGAGAGTGGCATTTAAATTCACATCTGTAATATATCAGCCATGAAACCACATGTAATCATTAATATTGAAACCACGAATGCAACAACTAAGGTTCGTACATTTTGCATAGTGCAATTAAAACTATAGTTGACTGGAAGCAGAATATATAATCATTTGATTTCTCTGATACGTAAATGTTAAGTAAGTTGAGCTACACTTAAGTAAGGTAAGGTAGGGTAAAATGTATTAAAGTAATTTCAGATAGGGCAAGGCAAGGTAAAGTAGGTTGGGTAAGGCGAAGTTAGATAAACTTAAAGATAAAGTACAGTATTTAGGGACCGCCTCCGTGGTGTAGTGGTTAGAGCGTCTGCCCGGAGAGCGGAAGGTCGCAGGTTTGATCCCGGCCACCTCATACCAAAAGATGTTAAAATATGGCACTGCGGCATTGTATCTCAGTGGGCTAGCACTATAAAACCAGCTTAAGTCTGGGCTAGTACAAGCAGCCACACATACACACGCATGCACGTCGTCATATGAGCGAAATCTTCACCTCACCTCAGATACACCGACTAACCACTGGACAGTACCAGGTATACTTCTCGTGGACATATTAAGGTGTGACGTCCCGAGTTTATTCCCCAACTAATTGTAGGAGTCTGGGCAAAAAATATACTCTAACATAATAATATTCTGCATATAAACGACATTAAACCTCATTTCACCTCACCTCACCTCACCTCACAGGGAAGGGTACGCTTACATCTGTAAGGTGAATAAAGAAGTAAGGCATGGTAGGTTCAGACAAAGTAACGTTAGGCAAAGTAAGATACACTCAGGTGAACTAATGGTCAGGTAAGGTTAGATAAAGTAAGCCAGGTTAAGGGAAACACCCAGGGCCTAGATTTTTTAAGCTTTTTTAGCGCTAAGACAGTCGTAAGTACCATACATTAACATTAATGTACGGCTATCTTAAAGCTAAGGGAGCTTCGAAAATGTAGGCCCTGGAATTTAGTGATAATATGTTTTCTACATGAGAGTAAACATGTAAAATACAGTCCCCAACAAAGACTCCCAGCCCACGCACGCACGCACGCACGCACGCGCACCTCATCCCCCACCCCCCACCCCCGAAACATATTATGCCCTACAACATGTATAAACACCTACCTTGTGTAGCTTTAGGACTGGAGAAATATGGACGCGATTTGATTGCGATGTTTGACGTGATGGAGGAAGTAGATAATGCCCGTCCTTGACATTGTTGTCCGGGAGTTGTGTCAGAATACAGACGTCAGAGTCAGAATACATAGCCGATGTTGACAACGAGTGGTACTTGCGACACAGTAACCAGGTATGTGATTTTCGCTTTGTGTTACAAATACATGCAGTAATGGCCGTTCGATTATTCTCACTGTGATCCTTAGGCGGACAATATCCGAGCTGGTCGTGTGATAGAGAGACATTCGCGCTGTCCCGGTTATAGTTAACGTGGGCAAACAGTGGCCCATGGGCGAGAATATCTACTTTTTGCTCGAGATTTGGGGGATGTAAATGAATGAAAGTATGTTAATAGGTATCATGGCACAAAATGCAACTTGTTGTAACTTCATTCGGCGCTTTTAGAGCCTTAGAATATCTTATTTTGCTCAAAAGTCATGTTTTGAAGGTTGTATATGAATGAAAGTTATTTAAAAGTATCATGTCGCAATATTCAATAGAACTTATCTTAATTCAGATATTTTAGGATGCTATTAAAATATCTCTCCCATGGGCGAAAGAATTTGGCTTATCGGCGAGAATGTTCACGTTTGCTAAAATTTCAATGTTTTGGAGGTTGTGAATGAATGGAAGTATGTTTATAAGTATCATGACACAAAATGTAACTCAGTTTAACTTAATTCGGCTATTTTAGATCGTTATTAAAATATCTCGCTCATGGGCGAAAATATTTTCACTTGCCCAAAGCTGATGTCTATTTATATTGCAAATGTATAGTTACAAAATGCACGCAAGCATCATGACTCATAATTCATCTTCATTAACTTCATTCAACTTTATTACAGTAATAACATCTCGCCCATTTTAGTTCGAATAAAATGGGCTTACAAAACTGTCCTTACCTTGAAACTGATTTCTTGGTCGTGACAAAATACAACAAAGGTGTAATAATTAGTATCACCACACGCATATCAAGATTTTCATCGTTATCATATCAAACTGATATCGTTTTCTTTATGTTTCCAGTTATAATATGACTGTTTCGTTTATTAAAAATTATACCATGTGATCCTACATATCATACACGATAACGTAGAAGTGAACTGGTCTAAAGAATCGTTTAGATACGCATGACACATTCTCTTGAAAGCTGTGTAGTATAGATGAAATGTTCAGCCAGAAGACTTATAAGAAGATTTTGTCGGTAAAGTGATGCCCTTTCCGTCCTCATTACCAACATAACCTCAATCCAACGTTTTTCGTCTCTGTTCAGTCCGGCTGAGGCTTTCAAAAACAACTTAAACCTCAAAGATGTAACATGACTTGCTTAGATCCATACACTAAAGTTATATCTACTTAAATACCACTTTATAAAGTATCAAAGAGATGTATTGTAAACAAACAAGCCGTTCAAAGTGAAGCTCTCTTTCCACATTCTCCACATAGACTCTTTAACACAAGTCATCGGTCCGACTTGGCCCGGGCTGTCAGGAGCACGTCAAAGATGTATCCTAAATTGTATTTAGATACATAGACTGGTATTATATCTACCTAAGTACCACTTTGTAACGTCACAATACATCACTTATGAAGATAAATGGTCCGTTAAAGTGAAGACCTTTTCTCTTTCAGTCCCAACCAAAAGTGTTTGGTCTCTGTTCAGTCAGGCTTGGCCGGGCTATAAAAAACAACTTAAACCTCACAGATATATCCTAATCTGTGATAATATCTATAATGATATTACATGTGCCTAAATATAAATTTTATGAGTCTCAAAGTGAAGTGTTTGAAACAACCACGTTGCTCAAAGTGGAACTCTTTTACGTTTCTTATCCATCAAACGTTTTCAAAAGCTCTCTTACCCACATTCCCATTATGGTCTCTATATCACAGGTGATCGGTCCTTCTTGGCCAGGGCTGTCAAAAATAACTTAAACTTCATAGAACTTCGACTAACAGGATCGATGCTCATGCTGTTGATCACTGGATTGTCTGGTCCAGACTCAATTATCTACAGACCACCACAGTAAGCAATAAATATATTTTTATTGGACCACAAAAGCAAACTAATGTGTTTCCCGTCAGTGACAACCTGTCAGGAAGTCGACTTCGTTTACTTTGTTTGCTTGCCCATTGTGTAGCAACAGGACACAGACATCACGACTCAGCGCCATCTTCCGCTGCAGCTGCTGTATTGTGCATTGTTCTTGTATCTGTTTTTCCTGGTTAAAGAACACAAGTATCTGTGATATATATACATATATATTTTACATCCTCACCGCCACCGACATTTATCATCTGCCCTTTCTCTAGTAGCTGGATGTATGGATGTGTGTGTGTGCGTGCGCGCGTGCGTGCATATGTGTGTGTATGTGAAGATGGATGGATGGACGAATAGATGTATGGATATCTGTTTGTATGGAAGGATGGATGGATGGGTGGATGAGGGGATGGAGGAAAGGATGGATGGATGAGTGGATGGAGGAAAGGATGGATGGATGATTGGATGGAGGAAAGGATGGATGGATGAGCGGATGGAGGAAAGGATGGATGGATGAGTGGATTGAGGAAAGGATGGATGGATGGGTGGATTGAGTGGATTGATGGGTGGATGGGTGGATGGAGGAAAGGATGAATGGTGAGCGGATGGAGGAAAGGATGGATGGATGAGTGGATTGAGGAAAGGATGGATGGATGAGTGGATGGGGAAAGGATGGATCGATGAGCGGATGGAGGAAAGGGTGGATGGATGGAGGAAGTGGATGGATGGAAGAGTGGATGGAGGAAAGGATGGATGGATGAGTGGATGAGTGGATGGATGGAAAGGATGGATGGATGAAGGATGGTGGATGAGTGGATGGATGGAAGGATGGATGGATGAGTGGATTGAGGAAAGGATGGGTGGATAAGCGGATGGAGGAAAGGATGGATGGATGAGTAGATGAGTGGATTGAGGAAAGGATGGATGGATGACTGGATTGAGGAAAGGATGGATGGATGAGGGATGGAGGAAAGGATGGATGGATGAGTGGATGGAGGAAAGCATGGATGGATAAGTGGATCAGTGGATTGAGGAAAGGATGGATGGATGAGTGGATTGAGGAAAGGATGGATGGATGAGTGGATTGAGAAATGGATGGATGGATGAGAGGATAAGTGGATTGAGGAAAGGATGGATGGGTGGGTTGATGAGTGGATGGAGGAAAGGATGGATGATAAGTTGATCAGTGGATTGAGGAAAGGATGGATGGATGGTTCGATGAGTGGACTGAGGAAAGGATGGATGGATGAGAGGATACGCGCATGGATGGATGAGTTGACTGAGGAAAGGATGGATGGATGAGTGGATGGAGGAAAGGATGGATGGATGAGTGGATGGAGGAAAGGATAGATGAGTGGGTGGATGAGTGGATGGAGGAAAGGATGGATGGATGAGTGGATGGAGGAAAGGATGGATGGATGAGAGGATATGGATGGATGGAAGGGAGGATGAGGATGAGTGGATGGAGGAAAGGATGGATGGATGAGTGGATTGAGGAAAGGATGGATGGATGAGAGGATACGTGGATGGAGGACAGGATGGATGGATGTGTGGATGGACGGAAAGGATGGATGGTAGGGTGTATGAGTGGATGGGGGAAAGGATGGATGGATGGGTGGATGGATGGATGGAAGGATGGATGGGTGGGTGCGTGTCTGTGAGCATGTGAGTA